GATCTTAGATTCGGGTGCAACTGATCATATGACCGCTTTTCATGATATGTTTACCATGTACTCACCCAACCCGATTCAGACACATGTCAAGCTTGCAGATGGGTCATCGGCCATTATTAAAGGCTTTGGTTCTGTTATTCTTAGCCCAAACATTACATTGCACTCAGTGCTCCATGTGCCTAAATTATGTTGCAATCTAATTTCTGTTCAGAAGTTGACTCATGATTTAAAGTGTCAAGCCCTGTTCACTGACTCTAAGTGTTTGTTTCAGGACTTGATAACGGGAACGACGATTGGCAATGCTGATGGCTTTGAAGGGCTCTACTACTTCAGAGGACCAAGTCTAAGAAATAAACAAGTTCTCCAGGTTGGTAGTGAGTCGAATTCTAGAGAACAACAAATTCTACTTTTACACCGCCGTTTAGGGCACCCGAGTTTTCAGTATCTTAAACATTTATATCCTTCACTTTTTCATAAAGATGACCTTTTTACTTGCGAAGTGTGTCAACTTGCAAAACACTCTCGTACATCTTATCCTTCTGTTGAGTATATACCATCCAGTCCATTCACAATGATTCATAGTGATTTATGGGGGGCCGTCTCGCATCAAAACTATGTCCGGTAAACGTTGGTTCCTTACCTTCACTGATGACCACACTAGGGTTTGTTGGGTCTATTTACTTAAAGAAAAATCAGAAACTGCATCAATCTTTCAACAGTTTCATTCTCTCATTCATAATCAATTTAATACGAGAATCAAAATTCTTCGCACAGATAAGGGGATAGAATATTTCAATCAAATATTGGGAACTTTCCTGTCTCAAAATGGAATCATTCACCAAAGTTCCTGTGTCATTACCCCCCAACAAAATGGTATAGCTGAAAGGAAAAATAGGCATCTTTKAGAAACTGCTCGTGCTCTCATGTTCACCAATTMTGTTCYTAACTRTTTTTGGGGTGATGCTGTCCTTACYGCTTGTTATCTCATTAATYGGATGCCCTCTCGTGTTCTGAAATT